AAAAGAATACGTCAATGTTTTCATTACTTGTTCATCATCTTCATGACTATTGGGCACCAATTGTTCTTTCAATTTTTGATAGATAAAATAAGGAGGCGACAGTGCTGGTTTAACGTAAATTATAGACGCCCTCTTTGTAAATTTTTTTATAATTTTTTGATTCTGTGCTACTACGCAAGTAGCTTGGTGTAATAATTTAAAAAAAGCCTAAAAAATTGTTATGTAAAAAGAGTTATAGCATTAAGTAAAGTACTAATTTTTTATAACATTACTATTTAATTAAGGACATTTCTATATATCTCTGGTCAGAGATATTTAACTTGTATTAACAACAATATTATGCTTAAAATTCTTTCAATATTAATTTCAGAGATTCTATTATCAAATGTGTTATTTTTGTTAATGGTTGTTGATTCTTCCTTTTCTTTTTTAAGAATATACAAATTTTCGCTAATGAAATAAGTGACTTCCTTTTGGTTTTAATATGTTTATATTTTGATCTTTTATTTTTTTCACAAATTCTTTATATTTTTCAATTTCTTTCATAATTGAATGAATATGAAAAAGACCATTAATTGCTTTTGCTTTTATATTATTTCATTTTACAATACAAAAAATGATATATTTCACACACAATTTCATGTAATATATATTAATATAAATCATATTTTAAAGACAATGACGAATAATTTGTCATGGTAAAGAAGTTTTGGAAGATTTACCGGTAAATTACACATTTCAAAATAAGCCCCAAATAATGAACCAGGATTTAGGTAAATTATTTAATTTATACATTTTTGATAATATATATAATATTTAGCAATTGTTTTACTTAGAATGCGTAAATCAAGATTTCTTTGAAATTAATCAAAATAAGAATAGTATTAACATTTGCATTAGAGGAAAAGCAAAAATTGTTCTCACATAATATATGAAAATCCGAATGATTGGTTTGTTCAATTTTTATTATAAGGCCACACCAAGTTAAAACTATGTTTAAAACTATGTTTAACATAGTCCCCTCTTTGGGCCTCAGATATGGGGTAATTAATATCAATATAAAATCATATTAACTGTTTAAACCTTTTTTTCTAGCCAATTAAAATCTCATGTTTTTTACCCTGTTTAGACTATCACGGCAATTAGCCAATAAAAATCGAAATTCTGCAGTGACTTGAAATTTATATCATTCTTTTTAATATACATTAGATTGAACTGTAAACTACAATTGATTAATTTTAGAAATAAGTGTATAATGAAAAAAAATATAATGCCAAGATCCAGACAGCCTATTTTAAGTATAAATAAATTTTATTGCTACAGTATAGCATAATATGTTATTGACTATATTATAGTCAATAACATGTAAGATCATTTGTTCATCGACTTTTCTGTGACTATTTAAATAATAGGATGTCACTTTCGTGAATTAATATTCTTAGTAAGTTCAGAGACTTGTGCTCTGATATTTTCATCTTGACAGGTAATCTCTTTTAAAATGTTCTGAGCTTTTTCATATTTTCTTTCTCTAATTAACAATCTAGCTAATCCGAGTTGTATATATTCATTTTTAAATTTCTTATTTTTATAACAGATTTTAAGTTCTTTTTTAAGTTTTTCGAATTTATGCTCAAAGCTATCCATTGATTTAAAAAAAAAGCAAATTCTCATCTACTTTATTTATATTTATTATAATATGCATATCTTACTATAGATTTTCTACAAAATTACAAAAACTTTTAATCTTTTAAATTAAATTGGAATTGGCAAATAATCAATTGTTTTTTCTAA